GTTCCCCTGTCCATGGAACTTTCCCATTCTCCATTATACTGTCCCACTGTCCATGATACTGTCCCATTGTCCATGATACTGTTCCAGTGTCCACGGTACTTTCTTTTTGTCCATGATACTGTTCCCCTGTCCATGGAACTTTCCCATTCTCCATTATACTGTCCCACTGTCCATGATACTGTCCCATTGTCCATGATACTGTTCCAATGTCCACGGTACTTTCTTATTGTCCATGACACTGGTCTCCTGTTTATGGTACTTTCCTATTGTCCATTTTACTGTCCCACTGTCCATGATCCTGCCCCACTGTCCATGATACTGTTCCAGTGTCCACGGTACTTTCTTTTTGTCCATGATACTGTTCCCCTGTCCATGGAACTTTCCCATTCTCCATTATACTGTCCCACTGTCCATGATACTGTCCCATTGTCCATGATACTGTTCCAGTGTCCACGGTACTTTCTTTTTGTCCATGATACTGTTCCCCTGTCCATGGAACTTTCCCATTCTCCATTATACTGTCCCACTGTCCATGATACTGTCCCATTGTCCATGATACTGTTCCAATGTCCACGGTACTTTCTTATTGTCCATGACACTGGTCTCCTGTTTATGGTACTTTCCTATTGTCCATTTTACTGTCCCACTGTCCATGATCCTGCCCCATTGTTCATGATGCTGACCCACTGTCCATTGTCACTACAATCATTTCAAAATTTGTTAAATAGAAATCATGTACTTATTGTATATGTGCAAATTACCAAACTATCAGTGAAGCAAAAACAAAATATACATTTTACCTGTTACATTTGTATACATTGCTAAACTATCAGTAAAGCATAACAAAATATACATTTTACCCTTGTATAACTTGCTAAACTATCAGTGAAGCATACAACATATATATTTTACATCACTTGCCAGGTAAATAATTTTGTGAAATAAATATTTTAAAAAAGGTTTAACATCTTGCGAGTAAATAAAAGCCTTTGAGCTAAAACAAGAAATTACATTTTATGTATCAGCAATGAAACAATTTCTCTAGAATACAAAGACAAAACTTGCCACGGTCAGTTTCTACTCAAAAAACTTAAAAAACTTTCATTCCGATGATGATAAAATAAAGTGTGTCATGACCCCAAGGAAATTTTGTGAGGAAAAAATCCTTTAAAAAAAAAAAATTTAACAAATTTTAATTTAAACAACAAAATAATTTATGTACATTTAAAATTTTTTTTTTTCAAAGGACATAAAGATAAATAAAGTGAGTGATCAGCAAACATAAATAGTGATTAGGTATTAGTGAGGATTATCAAAACAGCACTTCAGACAGATCCATATGTGCTCCGATCTTTTCCTCAAAAGCTCAAAAAGTGTGAAATGACTGATGTTCTGTGTTCGTTAATGAAACCTCTTTTCCCCTTGTGAAATGTTCATTGCATTCAGCAAAAGCATAAACAGTGAAGTATTAAAAAAGAAACATATTCTCCAAAAGAGCAAAGTGGGACACTTTTGTGAATGATATGGGAGGCGATAAAACATGGGGAAATTCCGGAAACTGCAAAGGCAGATGCCAAAAAAAAAAAGATCAGCCTATGACAGTGGGAACAATTTGTAGAGACGATGGTGTGTTTATGACAACAGAGAAGGTAAAAGGGGAGGCTTTTCTCCATAGGTTTATAGCTCAGATAGATCATAATGATGTAGACATCAGGGATGTAGTTAGAGAAGAGTTAGCTGGCACCTTAAAGAATATACACTATGAAAACATGGTACGAGTAGAAGATATCAACATTTTGAAAAAAGCAAAAGACACTGCCCCAGGGGCTGATGGGGTCAGGTATAGCCACATGATGTGGGCCTGGCTCAGGTATAGCCACATGATGTGGGCCTGGCTCAGGTACAGCCACATGATGTGGGCCTGGCAGAGATGGCTGACTGTTTTAATCAGAGCATTAAGACAGCAACAGCACAGCTATCTAATCGCGCTACCAAAACCTTTTAAGGATCATTCAAAGCTCAGTGGCTTTAGAATCATCACCTTACAAAAACATTTGGAAAGGTCTTGGAGAAGATAATTACTGTAAAGCTGCAGGAATTTTTGGAAAGGGGGAAGCTACAGGCCAGGAAAGGAAAAATGGGCAAATGCGGCCACTTTTGCTTTTGACGTCTATGAAGGGTTACAGAACAATCAGGCGGTAGCACTGGATCTCGAGGATGCTTATAACAGAGTAAAATACGACATCTTGATGATTGCACCAAAGGAGAAGGAGGTCAGTCTATGGCTGGTTAAATTGGATTCCAGCTGTCATGTATTCACGTCGGGTTGCTCTCCCACTAGGCTCATGGACCTCAGAACCATTCACCTTGGCCCCAGGACTGCCACAGGGATCCGCCATCTCGCTTGTGCTCTTTAACGTGTATACGAGCAAGATTGCAAGCCTAGAAGCACCAGGAGTTGGAAGTATACTGACTTTTGCGGATGATATACTTGCATTTAGACAGGGGGAAGAGAGAGAACAAACAGCTCGGGAGCTACAAGCAACAGTAGACAATGTGACTGAGTGGTGTACAGAAATAAGGGCTGTCATCCACCCAGAAAAGGCGTCTGTTTTGAGGTGTTCTCTAGACAACAGGATTGTTAAAGCTAATGTCCCAAGTCTCACGATAGATGGTAGAAACGTCAACAGAGAGAGCAAACTGAAGTATCTGGGAATTACATTTGACAGGAGCCTGTCTTTTAAGCACCATGTGGAGAATGTTGTGATAAGATGCCAGAAAGGACTTAGTACACTTAAGACTATGGCTGCAATTGACATAGAGCAGAGAATGCTTTTCACACTATATCAGCACCTGATCCTTTCAGTGGCTGATTATGGCCTGGGAATGTTTACAGTCTCAAAGAGTCAGATGGACAAACTAGAGCGCATAAAAACGCAGCTATGTGGGTCATTCTGGGTTGCACCAGAGACACTCTAGTGGTGTGTATGCGATACATCCTTGGTTTACCCACTGTTGCAGACAGGCACAAGGTGCTACAGGCCAAGTCATATCTCAGGGTAGCTGCAGATAAGACCACCCTTTGCACGAAGCTCTGGGTGTAGTTAGGGGTCAGCGGCTGATAAGAGGAAAGTCATGGATGGCTCGGGAAGAAGACACAATCAGACAGGTCTTCGTCCTTGAGAACATTAGGCGAGGAGGTAAGTGGGTCAAAGTGCCACCTGAACAGTCAGACTTGTGTAGAGTCAGAATCACACCGAGCCGGGAATGCAGAGACTGGCCAGCAGGTGCCACAGAGGTGGAAATTCAGCAATTAATTCAAGATAATGCTCGCTCGGACGATTTGATCATTTACGCAGATGGTTCAGTGCCAAGAGGCAAAAGAAGTGCTTGGGGTTTCTTAGCAAAAGTTAATGGTCGACGTTTGGTGCAGGAGAGACTAGCATATGATACCACAACGTCCAGCTTGGGAATGGAGGTGGAAGCGGTCACTTCAGCTTTCCACTGACTAGAGAACATGACACACACACACATCGTGATTGCAACTGACTCAGAAAGCATGCTGAGGATGATCAGGACAGGCATACTTCGTGCAGAGTGGCATACCTCCCTGCAGAGGACACAGTGAGGAGTATTGTCTGGACTTTTTCACCAGGCACACCGGTGTATTAGGACATGAACAGACAGACAGACTGGTTGGCTCTGCACAGCTTGAATGAATACTGATGTATGATAAGGCAGACGGGGTTAGTGCCTTGTGGGAGAGTGGGTACAGTTCGGAGGAGCAGATAGATCACCACATTCTGGTGAGATTGATGCGGGTAGGGGGGGGGGGGGTGTGACGAGAGGTTCTGACAGATGCTCGAGGCTCAGAGGAAAGGCAATACAGCCATTTAGTCAGAATGCCACTGCCACCATTAGTATCGGAACTCTTCACTGCCTGCTGAAGATGGGGACGGAGCGCTTATGGGAATGGCCCAAGTGCTGTGATGTCAGTTCTTGAATTAAATCAAATCAAATTTCCCAGTTTTTAGAAGAAAAAAATGTATAGGGTGACTAATTTCATGACCCTGTGACCTAAATCATCGAGACTTACAGAAAAATTTAACACCAAGAATTTTTAGTGCAGTGCATAGCATTGTTTCTCTAATTTACACAAATCAAAATACATACAGTCTTTATACTGCTCCAAATAAAGTTCATATGCCAAGCTGAGATGATATCACAGACAAACATCTTATGGTGGCCATGTAGAGCTTGAGGCCCATTCATACGATGTCGTTATTTTCTAGTCAATGTATGATGAATAATTTAATGAAAATTATACACAGATTTAGCCAATTTCACAATTACTGAAAAATATATATAGGTATACTCAAAACATGAATACAAAATTTAATGAAAATTATACCTTAATCTAGTTTATATATGATGAGCAAGTTAATGAAAATTATACCTACTAACAGCCAATGCATGATAAAGATTTTCTGGAAAGTTCATTAGCACTTCATAAACATGAATAGTGAAACATAGGAAAAATTAGGTGTAAATATTTCTATATAAATACTACAATAAATACTACATTGAACGCACAACATTTACAAATATGAATCTTGAACAAACAATGTTAAAACATGGATCTGACCTCTGTTAAAGGGAAACAAATGTATCTTACATCAGAAAGCTGTATCATAAAACATACACTTAATGATACCACACAAAGGTAATTACTAAGTGCATGATTATTACACAGATCCTGCAAAAAGTAGAGACACATTGCAGTTACTGCTGTTAGGATATAAAATGTTACACCTTCACAAACACTAGGCCATGACATACAGAGGAAACACCGCCTAAATTATGTGATAAAAGTACTGATATATTCTCAAGTTAAACACCCCCTGAATGCTGTGAAGCTGTTGTAACACACATTTTGATTTGTATAATTTGATGTTATTTTAAACTGTAATGTCTCAGATTTTCTTCTGTAAAATTTGATTCTATTTTAAACTGTAAGGTGTAGAACATGTCTGGGTGAAAGTGCAGCAAATATGACCAGCCTGAAAATAAAGCAAACATCATATTTATTAGTGGTAGTAGTAAAGTAAAGTAAAGTAAAGATCCATTTTCACGCCTTTAGGCACATCGGGCCTATGGGAAAAGCACCCATATTATGAGACCAATCGGCATTAGGTGGGTTGTGGTCTGGTACCTAATTTTAGGCTGGGTTGACCTGTAACGCCCCATACCATGATAAAAATCCATGTAGCCAGCAGTGGGTTTCGATCGCGGTACATTGGAATTACGAGTTGGATTTTTAACGCCTGAGCCACGGACGGCGCTATTGGTGGTAGTGGTAGTTGATAACTAATGAAAGGAAGGGCAATATAAAAATGTTGATGTGTGACCTGAAGTTTGAGATGGCTCAGATAGCACAGATTATGAAGAGATTATGGAAACAAATAAACTAGGTGGAATGAATGAAAATAGAGAATTATTCAACAATCTTTGCACAATACATTATTTGTGGAAGCATTTTCCCCATACACAAATTACACAAGGCAACAAAGGAATTATCAGATCATAAGGCAACCAACCCAAACAGATCAAAGGTGTACGAGGAACAGTCAATAAGTAAGTCACAAATGGTTATGGGAAGGCAGGAAAATATAGCTGGTGGTTTCTAAAAGTGAATTAATCAAGTAACAGACAGTATTTCTAAAAGTGTCATTGTGTGACAGTAACACTGAACCTTAGGTCTCCGCTCGTTTTGTGGCGATAGGTGTTGCGTGCGCATTCGCAACACAGAAACAACATGGCAACTGTAATTATGGAGTACACCGTCAAAGAGCAATGCTCAGTAGTAAGTTTGTATCGGGGGGGGGGGGGGGGGGGCTGCCTGCAATGAACATTCATAAGGAAATGCTTTTTGTTTATGGGGACAAATGTTTATTCCGTAAAGCGGTGCATAGCTGGGTTTAAAAAAAAAAAGAATTTCAAGAAGGTTCTAAAATTGTTGATCGAGTCCGATCTGGTCGTCTTGTTGAGATTGTATTAGATGCATCAGTGCAGCGGTTGAAGGAGAGGATTAGAGGTTACAGGTGAGTAAGGGTCGACTCTGTAGCAACTGCAATAGGGTGCTCACATGGTTTAGCATACAACTTAGCTCCTAGCAATTTCCACCGTTCTGGTCCACTGAAAAACTAACCTTGGCGGAAAACATTTCGCAAATGATGCAGAAGTTGAATGTGAAGGGAAAATGTGTGAAAACAAAGCACGCAGTTCTATGCAGCAGGTTTGGGTGGATTGATAAAACATTAGGACAAGTGCATCAGTGTTGGTGTAAATTATGTTGAAAAATAGAGAGACAGTGTATGCTTAAAAATAGATTTAAATGTGTTATCTGTATTTTTTTTTTAAAGAAACCATGTGTGACTTACTTATTGACTTCCCTTATACAGAAATTTTTTTTTAGATCATCCCTGTATGATGTTTGGGCTTTCAGAGGTGCTGATATGTTCACTTACCACTATCTGACCACTATCATTTGAGATCACACATTTTTCTCACAGCAACTTACAGATGTGAGTCAAGGACTCTCACTCTTTAAGAAAGAAAATTAGAGCTTTTGAACAGAAATACTACAGAAAAATTATTAGATTACAGTGGACCAAAATGAAGAAAAATGTCGACATCCTGTATGACCTGAACATGAAGGATAACTGGCTTATAAACAGCATCATCTTCTGAAAGCTGAGGTATTTTGTACAAGTGCCATGGTGGTCTGAAGAGAGCGGTGATAGACGGTGCAGTTTCTGAAGATGAGGCAGAGGCCTGTCTGGACAAAGATGGATACAGGACATTAAAGGCTATGAAAGCACACAGGGTTGCAGAATTAGCTAGAGAAATAGAAACTTTTAGGTATGCTGTGAAGACAGAGATGTTCTGTAAAAAACATGCTGACTCAATTATTTGTTAGTAAGTAAAATAAAGCTGAAACTTAACAGATATATAACATCTTACAATCATAGATATAATAAAGGATATCTCTAGAATAAAGAAGTTAAGGAACAGTTTTCAGTTACAGTCTCAAATAAATACCAGGTGCTGCAACAGTTATCTGAGGAGACAAGCACTGAAGTCTGTTGGGAAGAGATCAAAGGAATTAGGAATGAATCTAGAGTAGAAACCCCTCATAAATGAGAAGGAAAAACATAAGATGTGGATAACGCCTGAAACCCTTTAAAAAAATCAAAGAAAGCAAAAGCAAATGTGACAGACCTAGACAATTCAAAACTAGAGCTGCTAATGATAGAGCTCATGACAAATACACATAAGCTAATAAATGTTAGGAGGTGAAGAAGGCAATATTTAGATGACCTAGCACAAGAAGCAGAGACAGCATCAGCAAAAGGAAACATCAGAAACATTTACACAACTACAAGGAAATTAGTGGGCAAACATTGTCAACCAAGTGGATCAATCAAAAATAGTCAAGGAAAGGTTCGCATCAGCACTACGGATCAAATCAATCAGTAACGGGTTTAGATTTACTGAAAAATAAATCTTTTTGAGTGATGGATCAAACTGTTTGAAGAGCTTTCTTGATAATTTGTTCAGGGTCAAGGCAGGCAAACACACACAAACAGTCAAGAAAAGTGTGTACCTTACTCAAGAAATCAGAGTCACTGGAACACAACCTACATAGTCTAAGCAGTTGAGGGAATGGTATAGACAATCTACAAGAGAATGAGTGAGAAGAAGTACAGAAAAGATAGCTGTGAGAATCAGCAGGTTTATTATAGGCACAAGTGGTTAAGAAAGGAAGGTCAACGCTAACGTTCATGTCCAAGAAATTCACAGAAATGGTGAGAACCAAAGACATACGTACTGATGAATGTTATCAATTTGTCGAGTTCACCTCTGGGCATTTCGCTGGTGTTAAAAAATATATGAGTCTAGCGTGATATACTTGATGTACGAATGGCCTTAAAAGGGTCCTTTACTTAACATTTTATTAAACATCAAACATCTTTTTAAGGAAGAGGTAAGGAGATCAATGTTATTGCACTGGATGTGATCCTATATGGTTCGCTCACTCTTTACAGAATGTCTGTCTGTTTGCCAAGAGCACTCACACAAAGCATGGCACTTTGGCTCCACTGATGACCCCCAGGGATCTTTGAAAAGCCAACACTTGCATAGCAATGGACAGATCCTTGTTGGGTTTTTTTTAAAGCCAGTAGCGCATAAGGCATACAAAGCTATATTTATTTATGTTTTTATAGATGACCTGGCACTTGGTGAGTGATGTGGTCAACCTCAAGCTGGACACCCTTTACTTCCCAGGGCATTACCTGGTGCCCACTTCAAGCAGGGTTCACTTTAGAGCCAAGGTCATTTTGAAAATATCCACCTCATTGAAGATTCAAACTCAAGACCCTCAGGACCGCAGGTGAGCATCTAGCCACTAAGCTACTGTGGCGCCCTCTCAGAGTTGTGGTTAATCAGAAAAATACTGAAAATATCTCACCTTGCATTGACACAAAGTGCACCGATCTGACTCCAGCTGCCATTCTTCTCCATGGGAGAAAGACGAGCCCATATATGCACATTTGGTCTGAGAGAGATCTTGACCACCGGTTTCCAAAGTCAAGGACACACAAGGGTTTGATTCAGCACAAACAGGGCAGCATTCACCAGGTCGCTGAATTGCATTCTGGCAAGTCAGTTTGGGGCAAGATAATGGCCAGCAGTCTATTTCTCCATGCTGGGTTGAGTAGAAGAGAATCATCAAAAACATAAGGTAGCAATAAAGGTACAATAACATAAGGTACCCTAAATATGGTACACCAGACCCCCATAGTGATTCTGTAAGATCTGAACATCAAGAGGACTGGCTCACAGAAGGTGTCATTTTTAAGAAATTAAAATACTTGACCATATTTAAAGTCTTTCCTTTTCTATTTCTTCACATTCACCGGCTGTAAACTCCAGCAAAAAGTTCTGGTTGTTGTTCCAATTCTGGACTTTAGTTTAAGAACTGCAACAACTGCACCAAAGAAGCACTGAAGCAAGAGAAAAAATGGAACAAGATCCCTCTGACCTCAACGTAACAGAACACAAAAAACATCAGGCTATTTATAGAAGAGAAAAACTCACATGTATCCGGACAAGTTGGCAGGAAAAGACTGCAGCTCTCGACATGAAGAAAGATGGGAAAAAAGCTATGGCATCTAGTAAAGGGTCTCAATGAGGAGAATAATACCAGCCGTGCCCACACTGTCATTGAAGATGGTGGGAAAACTTTCATTGGTAAACAAGCAGCAAACCTGCTGGCTGATAGTTTTGCAGAGGAAAGCAAAATCTTTATGTCTAGAGAGAGAGAAGAAGAAGAAGTGACGAGAGAACTGAGGAGAATAAATAAAAAGCAAGAAGATAACCCAGACATAATGAATAAACTTTTCAGTCCCCAAGAACTTGAAGAAACCTTAAGAAAAGGAAGGCACCTGGACCTGATCGAATAACAAATGAAATGATAGTACACTTAGGACCAGCTGGTAGGCAACGACTCTTAGACCTTATAAATCAATCCTGGGCCCAGGGACTACTTCATAAGGAATGGAAGGAGGCAGAAATAGTTTCCATAGCCAAGAAAGGAAAGCCCAAGGAAAACAAATTCGGTTACCACCCCATAAGCCTCCTAAGCTGCCTTGGAAAGACCATGGAAAGATTAGTGAACAACAGGTTACTTAATTTTCTAGAAGAAAACAAGATATTAAATGACAGCCAATCAGGCTTCAGGAGATACAGAAGCACTGATGACCAAACCTCTTATCTCACACAGGAAATTAAAGATGCTTTCCAGAAAAAATACAAACTGCTAGCTAATTTCTTTGACCTGACCAAAGCCTTCGATAAGGTCTGAAAGAAAGGACTCTTGCTAAAACTAGCACACTGTAGCATATGTTTGCTGGATTAGAGACTTCCTTTACAGACGCTGTGCAAGAGTCAGACTGGAAGATCACAAAAGCAAGCTGGTCAGGTTACAAGAAGGTGTCCCCCAGGGAGGTTTTATATCTCCTACCCTGTTTATTCTTTTCATCAATGACCTCCCAAAACAGTTCACGACTCACATTCATAAGGCGCTACACGCAAATGACCTGGCTATATGGATTCAAGCTGAACATATAGGAACAACTAAAACAAGAATGCAGGAAGCTATAAATACAGTTAAGAAATGGACAGACTCTTGGGGAGTCACAATAAATCAGACCAAAACCGTCTCAACTTTGTTCTCTCTTTCCACAAAGCCAGAACAGGTTGATCTGTACCTAGAAGGCAAAATCATTCCAAAAGAGGATAACCCCACATATTTGGGAGTAAAATTTGACAAAAGGCTAACTTGGGGGCCCCCACATTGAAGACACCCAAAGGAAAGCTACCCTGAGGCTCAGACTTATGAAGAAACTTACTGGAACAAGCTGGGGTGCAGATGCCATCACTGTACGACAAGTATACACTGGATACGTACGACCAAAACTGGAGTATGGCATGGGAGCAAACTCCAATGCAGCCAAAACAAACCTACACAAACTGGATAAAATACAGAACACTGGTCACAGAATCATCACTGGAGGTATGAGAAGCACACCAATTAATGAACTGGAGGCAACTTGTGGCCCCCAGAGCATGAGCCTTCGAAGGGAAGAAAAGGTGCTTATCCTAACAGAAAAATTTAAACGCATGAACAACCACCCCATGCACAGAATAGCAAATAACTTAACAAAAAACCGACTCAAAAGACAAAGCTTTCACCATTTATCAAAACTATACTAAAAAAAAAAAAAAACCCCAGTGATATCCTTTCTAAAGATCCTTCAACATGGGAAATGATCCAGGCATACAACATAGACCTACAGCCTAATATACAGTCACAACAACAATTCCAGGCATAGACAGAAAAGCTGAAGAATGTGACCAAGTACTGCGTGCAAAGACCCTTGAACATGTCTGCAACAGTTATCCAAAACCCGAATGGACACACGTATACACCGATGGATCATTGGAGGGAGCAGATAAAAATGGAGGAGCTGGATCGGTCATCATGCTGCAAGATGGGACCACAGTAGAAACATCATGCGCCTCCGGAAGACTCTCAACAAACTTCAGAGCAGAGCAGCAAGCAATTATTGATTCAGCCAAAGTGCTCCGGGAAAGAAAAATTAAAAACAGCAAAATTGTTTTCCTTTGTGACTGCATGTCAGTCCTCCAGGCGACTCATAGGGATCCACGAGACAACATAGAAAGAGAACTGACCTGTCAGCTAAACAGACTCACAGAAAACAATCAAATCGTTCTCCAGTGGATCCCGGCTCACTGCGGCATACCAGGAAATGAGCTAGCAGACAAACTTGCAAAAAATGGAACAAAGAAGAAACAACACGCCCATTCATTGTCATTACCAGAAATCAAAACACTTATCAAAGGAAAATACCAAGGATTGTGGAGAGAACAAACTAAAAGTAAACATCCACAAGACCCTATCAGCAGACTCAACAGAAAGGAACATACAACAATTTTCAGTCTACGAACAGGACACTGCAGGCTCAACTACCACATGCATAAAATAAAGATTGTGCAGTCCCCACAGTGTGCCTGTCAGACAGGACCACAAACAACCTCAGCACATTCTGCAGACCTGCCCACTCTACCTGCAACTTCGAAAAGACACCTGGCCTCAAGAGCAAAGTGTGCAGAGCAAGCTATGGGGAACCTTGCAGGACCTGCAGCTGACATGCGAGTTTATAGAGGCAACCCACCTGATGGTCTGATCTGAGCATACGGAACCGAACGCAAAGAAGGAAGAAGAAGAGAAGGACTTTAGTTTGTCCAGAGCTTGACTTTTTGTAAGCATATTTGTTTAACGAATTTGGCTTATTTATTTGCAGACGGCTGGTTCCTTGCCTCTTAGGCAGATACACTTCGACTTTAAAGGAAACACCCCTATGTAGTTGACTTTTATGACATTCTTTTAGGGGCAGTGGGTTTATTCATTTTCCCCCACAATGGGACCCCTGAACCCGCATAGGGAGGGGAAAATCTGTAATAGAGGACGTGGTTTAGGGAAGAGGCAGGAGTTGACCAGAAATCAAGGACTTCCTGGGTATGAAAGTTTACAAGTTTGGACAGTTGTCAAGAAACTAAGTGGCACAGTCAACTTTCTAGCTTTGTGAGTTTCCATAGTCAAGAAATGTCATTCGTTCAGGGACAGATAACTGTTACTAACCAGAGGGGATGCAGATGTGCCTAACCACAAGCAGCATGTAGTGACTCACCCTGACCAGCTAGCTCTACTAATTGTTTCCCTGACGATATGGTTATATTGTCACCTATCTCAGCTTCAAAGGCGGTATAGACATGCTTCACTGTGTATTACTGCGAGGTCGCGCAATAATGTTGGTGTCAGAGATTCATCATTATTCACTAGCTCAGTCAGTACATCTTTGGTGATATCTGCTCTGTCCATGGGTTTGTGCACTGCTTGCCAGCTGGTCCACACACTGGAAGCAGTGGTTATCTAAATGATCATGCTTGACGTAGTTGCCTGGTAAGCATCATTATCCTCTTTTGTTGTTTTCTCCATCTTTCGGGTTGTGTATGGACATGCTGATCTTGACCCATGCTTTAAAGACCCATCTGTGTAGATGATGATGTCTTCTGGGTGTGAATGCTGATCTATCAGTATCATTTTCTCTGCGTCTATGGCCAAAAGAATCTGATCCCTGTAGTATCTCCACAGTGTGATGACAACCTTGGAAAGGTCATGCATGTCTACTGCTTTATTTTCCATTCTTTTTCGTGACTGATCTTGCCTAGGTTACATAAATGGTGAATTAAATCTTCAGGAGCAGCATTTTTTATACGCATTCATTTTATGTTTACGATAGTTTTGTGTAGTGGTGGTTAACCTAAGCCGATACAGTCATGTATGCCCTGACCTGAGCTACTTTGCGTCTTCCTAGGAAAGTCCATGACATATCACATTAAATGGCAGGAGGTGTATGAGTCTCATGGTCTGATTTTGTACTTGATCCATTATGTTGTAGTTGACTTCTGATGACAGTGAGGAGGTCCAGACAATAATCTATGATGCTTGACACAAGTTTCTGTTGGAAAAGGAAAAGTAGGCGTTGTTCAGTATCGGCTTATAACAACCTCTTGCGTGCTGTCAGATCTTTCAAGTACGACATTATCTACATGATACTTTAATGAAAAGCATCTGTCAAAGGTCTTGCCCCGATATTCTCCTCATGTCCGTTATCTTGATGTCTATATTTTACATACTTATGACCAGTGTATGTGTACTGATAATGTGGGCGTTAAGAGAGAACAACGTTAAGCAGGCTTTATCTGGGTTCATTTGGGTTCCCGATTCGTGACACGACTCACTGAATCTGCCTAGCTGAAGGTGAAGAAGACGAAAAACTCACTTGACATTCAGGGATAGATAACTCAAACTCACTAAACATTCACATCGTTGACACTGGTAGACCCATGCATCCCCATTCTGTTGTCGTGTTTTAAACTCTTGATGCTCACAGGTGCTCCCCGAGTCACAGCTTGGACAACACTTCAGATCCACTTTGGGATTTGAACAGTTGCATGCTATCTGATGGCATGTCGTTCGCCCGGCCTGAAATAACAAAAGATATCTGCAGTTGTCTACCTTTTGTATTTTTTGTCACCCTCGCTACTAAAATAAGGGAATAATGGCAGCACAGTAGCTAGATGTTGGTCCAAAAGTCTCAGGTTCAAATTTACCCCAGTATGTAATTATTATTTTTCAATGAACAATCCTGGCTCTCAGGTCGGTCCATTCTAACATTGTTACCAGGAAAGGCATTAGGAATGTTCTTCTTATTCGCGTTCACCGGTTGTAAACTCCGGCGGAAAGTTCTGGTTGTTCATCCACTTATGCAGATGCACTCCGACTTCAAAGGAAGCCTCCCATTGGTCTACTCTTACGTCATGCTTTTTGTGGAGGCAGTGGGTATGTTCTTGTTTTCCCCACAATGAGGCCCCCGGAACCCGCACGGGGGGGGGGGGGGGGGGGGGGGGGGGGGGGGGGGGGGGGGTGGGGCCTCGTGAATTAAAGGTGATTGGCACGAAAATTAAATATTATATAACAAAGACATTAAACATGCATCTGAGTGTCAAATATCTACTGCAACATTTACCAAAGATTGGAAACTGGATGAAGAAATTAACATCAGATGTAGTAAAGCAAATCAAAAATTGGGACATCTAGCCCGCTCCCACCCCCAACCTCACCTTTTTGTTGATAGAATAATACAATCCTAATCAGCACAAAGAAACATCTCATACAAAGCGTACACAAACACGTTCATTTCCCTCTACTCTACTAGTGATGGATGTGGTAACTCACAACAAACCAGAAAATAAAATAAATTACTATAGAATTGAGACGTTTGAAAAGGGCAGGTAGCAGGTCCTTTGCAGAACGTCGCTCTCATCACAGTCTGCCTGAAAGAAACTCGGTCTCTCGCCATCTCTCCCGCCTCATGAACTTTCACACTCAAGGAGTCACTTATATCATGTGCCCATCTTCGTGTCGGTCGGCCCCTGCCCCTCCTTCCTGGTACCATGCCTTCTGCCATAATTTTTTCCAATCCGTCGTGGCGCTTGATATGACCAAAATATTTCAGCTTTCGAGAAAGGATGCTGTTTATTAGCCAATCTTCCTTGATGTTCAGATATTTTAAGATGTCAATATTTCTCCTCTTCTTTGTCCAAGATATTCTGAGAATCTTTCTATAGCATTTCTGCTCAAAAGCCCCTATTCTCTTTCTTAAGGACTGAGAGATAGTCCACGACTCACATCCGTATGTAGCCACAGGGAAGATGCATGCTCTCAAAATTCTATTTTGTATCTCCTAGCTGGCGCTTAACCATAGACTTTTAAGGCTGTTCAATCTTTGCATTGCTATGGCCATCCTCCTTTTAATTTCTGTTGAACAGACTCCATTGTTGTTTATTTTAGAGCCTAGATATTCAAAGTTTGTGACATTTTAAATTTCTTCATCATATATTGTTATTTTTGGGTGACATTTAGTTTTATCTGTGGACATCCTGTTCGTTTCCCTTAAATTCAAGAACAGATTTTGATCTTCACTGTGCTTTTGGACAGACAATATTAAATTTTCTATTCCCTTTACGCTGTTCGAAAGGAGGACTGTGTCATCTGCGTAGCGGAGTTCCGGAATAGGGTTGCCACCAATTTTGAGCGGATCATAACTGTCACAAGTCTGGTCATTTTTGACCATGAGTGACTAGACAAGATAACATCAGGAATGAGGTCATGACAAAAACAAATAATTGGCACATTACCACTCCTAAATTACATACAAAGACTGCAAATCAAATGTTTTGCCCATTAAGAGAGAATGCCCTGTGACACCACAGCATAATAGTTATTAAAAAAAGGAGATGGACGAAGAGTGCAAGGTATTTCAAAAACGAGATGCAAAGATAATAGAAGATAAACGTCACAACACGCTTGTCTATGGTGGAGACAGACAGAAGAGCAAAAAGCAGAACCTTATGACTTTCTCGACACCCAACGTGGTAGAAAAGAAAAGAAAGAAGAAGAAGACATGAAAGTGACTACATCACCCTGTGAGTGCCGATGGGTCATCTGTCTGCTTCACCCCTGGCATGAAAAAGTCCTTTCATTTACTTTTTTTAAAATGAACATAGACCCACACTCACAGCAACTAGAAATGCGATTTTCCGAGAATATCTTATGCAGCAGAATTTTTCACACTGTTTATGATAGTTATACACTTTTTAGATATACATAATTTCGTAACACAGTAATTCTGTCTACCGGCAATGCAGGACTTAAACTTATTCTCTAGTAAGAGATCGGGAGTCGCTTGCCATGAATCGGAAAGTCGTGGGTTTGCTCCCTGTCGGAGCCGGACTTTTTTCAAAAATGACCTCGGCTCCTAGGTAGACCCAGCCTTGAGTGGTTACCGGGTGCAGTCCCGGGAAGTAAAGGCGGCCGGTGTGATGCTGACCATATCACCCATCTTGTGCTGATTGGTCTATAAAATATAGGTCTAGCCCTATATGCCGTTTATGCCTAAAGGCACTGAAAAGGGTCCTTCTTTTCACTTTGTAAGAGATCAGGACACATCTTCGTATGACACACCTTTACACAGCAGCCGACACACAATTGTGTCGCGTCACAGTTTGGAAAGCTCTTTATACGGAATAACAGATAAGTAAACGATCTTTGGGCTCAAAAATACTTGTATATAAGGATGTAAACAAATGGGACATGAAGGATACATCTGTTTGGACTGAATCTTAGGAACTGAGTAATATGACTCATGTTGCATGGAGGGAAACGATCATAGGGGAACAAGGACAAAGGGAAAATGGTGGCAGCTGAGTTAATTTTGGAGCATATGGATTCAAAAAAAAAAAAAAACCAATAGTAAATATTATGGTGAAATCCCATGAATGCAATTGTGGAAGATTCCTTTCTTATTAACCCAAGTCTTGCCAGTCACTCTCACCACCGCCATGGACTGTGACTTCCATGCCTCTCTAGAACCCAAAGTTCTAGTGTCGCTGCTAAATTTAGACAGTCATTCTAAGTCTACAAATGGTTCGCCCTGATATCAGTAGTGGCATGGCAGATGAAAGACAGCAGCAGAAGAAGAAGAGACGAAGAAGAAAAGAAGAAGAAGAAGAAGAAGAAGAAGAAGAAGAAGAAGAAGAAGAAGAAGAAGAAGAAGAAGAAGAAGAAGAAGAAGAAGAAGAAGAAGAAGAAGAGGAAGAAGAAGAAGAAGAAGAAGAAGAAGAAGAAGAAGAAAAGAGGAAGAAGAAGAAGAAGAAGAAGGAGAAGAAGAAGAAGAAAAGAGGAAGAAGAAGAAGAAGAGGAAGAAGAAGAAGAAGAAAAGAGGAAGAAGAAGAAGAAGAAGAAGAAGAAGAAGAAGAAGAAGAAGAAGGAGAAGAAGAAGAAGAATTAAGCAGATGAAAAATAGCCATACAAAGAGAAGGAAAAAATAAAGAGAGTCGTATCAGGAGAAGAAGCAGAGACTAAAGAAGGAAAAGAACGAGAAAAAAAAAAAGGGGGGGGGAGAGCTGAACTAAGATGAGAAGCAACGAGAGAAACAGAAGAGAGTATAAGTAATTAATAATAATAGAAGGCAACAACCGTCCTTGGGCGGTAGACACTGACCTTACACTGGCAGTCTTTGCAGGCGTCCATGGGTGATGTCCATTTACTGCCATCGGAATGTTCGCTGCCTTCGAAAATACAACCTGCATAGACCAAAGTGACGTAACAGTTAATGTAACATTTACAGTTTTGGGTAAGATTTGTTCTTATATTAGACTAGTATTACATTATTTTTAAGAATGTGTGTGTTTGTTTGTGTGTGTGTGTATATGTGTGTGTTAGTGAGAGAGAGAAAGAAAGAGAGAGAGAGAGAGAGAGAGAGAGAGAGAGAGAGAGAGAGAGAGAGAGAGAAACACTGGTTATTGGGACACGATTTACAGTTAGGCATAAGTTTGTTCCATACTGCTTAGACGGGCGGATGGAGGGACAGAAAGGTGGACGACAGACGGTCTGAATAGATAGACAGACAGATGCACTCCTCGCTTGGGTTCCGGGGCCCTATTACACGGAAAACAAGAATAGACCCACTGCCTACCCCAAAGCATGTCGTAAGAGTTGATTAAATGTGAGCTTCCTTCGAAGTCAGAGTGCATCTGCCTGAGAGGCAAGGAGCCAACAGTCTGCACACAAATGAGTCACATATGTCAAACGGATGCATATGCAACACTCAGGTTCTGGAACATGACTGCATTCCAGAAGTGGACGAACTAATCCAGAACTTTCCGCCGGAGTTTATAGCCGGAGAACGCAAGGAAGACAGATGGACGGGCGGACAAAGGGATGGATAGACAAACAGAAGACGAACAGAGAGATGGAGCGACGCACGGGCATATAGATGGACAGACAGACAGATTTGATAAACATGCAGATTTATCAAAAGACAGACAGTCAAGATAGACAGACAGACAAGATACAATATAGACAGACAGGCTGACAAATTTGAAGACAGACAGATAAACAATCTTTATTTTAAAGGGTGACAGACAGACAGACAGACAGACAGACAGACAGACAGACAGACAGACAGACAGACAGACAGACAGACAGACAGACAGACAGACAGACAGACAGACAGACAGACAGACAGACAGACAGACAGACAGACAGATTTTTCAGGACTGTATTTTTTCGAAAATATTGCCGTTCCTATTTTTGCAATCACTGTCTGTGGAGTTAATGCAAACATATACTAATGCAGGGTGTCTTATTTTGGGTAAAGTTTTCCCCAATTCCAGCTCTATTTTTAAAAGATTCTACTGGTAAAATTGCTAACAGTATTAGGACGAGGCACTTGAGTATCAGGAAGTGAGATCATAAATTACTAAACAACCACATTCGAATTCCTGCCACCATTAGGAAATTCATGCTCAACACAAACTTTCTTGAAAAGTTAACACCATCATACCTCTTTATCCTCAGAACTTGTCATCCGATTGTGGGATAACATTTTTAGTTATTTTGAAGCCCCACCATGGCTTTTGTCGGGACACCTAAGTATAGACGGTCCTTAAATATGGCCTAACTGTTGAACAGGGTTTCCATGACTTCTCTACGGGTGATCCTCGTCAGCATGGTGGCACTTTGTGTCACCGAATGTTTATCGCTTGTATGATGTCCTGGTGGGTACAACTTGCCTACCTACCCACCATTATAGCTCAGATCAGCTATTAAAACAAAAAGCATGGAGCAGTGATATTCTAAACTAACGGACGCCCTATACTATCTGTGTATATCTGAGGCGTTTCCCTTTCGGAATGTTTTCCTTGTTCACACGTCTATTCAGGCAGCTCATTTCGCTAACATTCGGCACACACATCACTCACTAGATATATGAGAACTTCTAGAAAAGAACATCAGGATAGAAGGTGAGAGAAAGATCAAGGAAGACAAGGATAGGCGGGGTAGCCACATGCTGCAAAAAGATGAACAAAACAATCACTCCAGCCAGGCAAGAAACTGAAGACAAATTAAAAGGGGAAAAAACAAGAATCTGTGCTACAATAAGGCAGGCACTTTCCCACTAAGAAACCATTATTGCAGGTGGTGGGGACTTCAGCTTCCTTATAATCTTCTAGGGACCTCAGCCCCGTTTAGGTGCGTAATAATAATATGGGACTAACTTTAACCCTTCCGCAAATTTTTAGGAGACCCTCCACTCCACACTAAGCGATTTTGAGGACAGGGTTCAAGATATCTAACTCATTTGGTTCCATCGCAACTAAAACCCGGTAACTGTGAAATTATCTCGAAATACTCCGAGGGCAAGAGAAATAAAAGAGCCGACTTATTGGCCGAATCTGCAGGGGTTGATGGAGAAAGTATGGACAGGATAGAAAAAACTGCGCTGAGTTCCAGAGACTTTGAGACAAGGGATCAGAGTCGATGAGCCTGTTGGAAATGGATATTGGACGGGGTTAAACATGATAAATAAAACCGGTGGGGGAGCGAATATAGAAGACATACCGGACAACTTCTACTGGGTAAGCTTAGCATGAAGACATGTATTTCGGCTGCTGTGTAGGAGGACGAAGCATGAGTGGTCAATGGATGTGCCAGGATGTTGATAAGGACAACATGTAACAAGTCGGAGGGACAACAAAAGAACAAACAGAATCACTCACTCGAATGACAGGGCTCAGTATTTCGGCACTGACAAGTGTACCCGCCTTCCTTGTTGACGCACTGCATGCTGGGGTGGCAAGTGTGCCCTTCACCTTCATCCTGACACTCATCTATATCTAAATGATAAAGAAGAAGAAGACATCAAATATTAGATATACAGACAGACAGACAAAAAGTACACAGACGGACAAAAAAACAAACAAATCAGGGGCAACAACACACAGACAAAAACATTTGGGTGGGAGCCGTAGCGCCTTACAGATTTCTCAAGAGAAAGGCAGAGCGGCCAAAGTCTCACTAAAGTGTCTAATCATAATGATTTTAAGGTGAATAAACACAATACTTCAAAACATTTTTTTACGCGTATAAACAGAAACTTCAAAAGAGAACTTATTAACATATTTAGGTAAAGGGAAAAGGAAGGTGTGAGCAGTTTAAGCCCTTGGCAGTTTTTGTTTTGTTTCGGGGGGTAGGCTCAAGATGTCAACTCCTGGCTCTCACGCCGCCCCAGTTCTGTCGCCCCTTCACCAGACAATGAATGAGATTTAACCCTATCAGGACATCCACTAAGTGATAAACACCTGGTGACACAAAGTGCCACCATGCGGATGAGGATCAACCGGGAAAGGTCCTGTTCAACAGTTAGGTTACATTAGGGACCCCGACTTCTGTCGTGGTGGAGCCTTAAAATAACGAAAAATTTCGTCCTGTAATGAGACGACAGATAAACCAGACACACAGGCAAACACACAACGTATCAACGCCACACGCAAACGCCCCAAAAACACGGCCAGATTTTCCTACTTTTAAACCACCGCAGCCAAACAAAACATTGATGCGCCCCTGGTCCGCCCTTATATTGTCTTCATGTCGCTTCTTTGATGGCATCTGTTGTCAATGGAGAGCCGCAATGGAAACAGGTCGTCTGCGTTTGGTCTAACATCCCGGCGAAATTGAGTCAGCGTGTGAGCTGATCTAGGCAGCAGACAGTTTCAATCAATGCCTGACTGTACCAGTGAAGGATTCTCAATGTTTGAACACAGATGTGTTTGCATCATCATCATCATCATCATCATCCTCACTGTGAGGTGCCATTACACATCACCCAGAGCTCGCGACTAAAAAAAATCATATAATCATAAAATAATTTTTTTTTTACACAGACGAAATCTGCTGCTAGCTAGAGTCTAGGATTTATGTAGGAATGTAGTGTCGAAAACATGTAGCTACTATCTGATAGGTTAACATCAGTCAGCAGGTCATTTACAGAAGTACGCTCTCGTCTGCAAGTCTACCTTTCTATTGTCAATTCTCCAGTTCTATATGCTTTCACGGCCAATGCGAATGCAGCTTCAAAGTTTTGTATCAACTTTGTCGAAGACCTGCCTCTGCCTCGTTTACCCGAAACTGAATCCTCCATCACTGTTCTCTCCGATTTACCATGACGTTAAACACGGCCAAAATACCCCAGCTTTCAGTACAGGATGCTGTTTATGAACCAGTTCTATGCTCAGAGCATGTAGGGTGTTGGTGGTTTTCTTCTCTTTGGTCCATGATATTCTAAGAATCTGGTAATCTGGTAATCTTAGTTTCCGCTTCATAGCAAACGGGTCACCCTAAGCTGCTCCGCTCCTGTGCCAACGAAAAACACACAGAATGTTTACCACAGTGCCTTGTGGAAAGATTGACAGACTGCTGTCTCAGCAGATGCACTAGCATACACACGCATTCAAGCATACGGTAGCCATCCGAAGTGCTAACACAACAGTCCAACATTAGAAATGCAGTTCATCATGGATGGTAGCAGAAGTCACCAACAGATCAGCAGTTGCGCATGCGATCAATTTAATCACATAATGGCACCACCAACAGGCATCGCGCCATTTTCTGAATCTACAATTCACACCATCACGTTAGTCACAGTCGAAAAACATACCAAATGAAATCCGCAGCTTACAATGTCACGCCATGCACTCAACTCAGAAGCTGGGCGACGAAACTATATCCTTTCAGTCTACAAATGGAGCAAAAATGCCACCGTCTGGCAGAAGCAAACAATTTGCCAAAGCTCAAAACAGTGGCCGTGCCTAGAGTCCATTTCGACCGGAAGCTCTAAGAAGGTTTCTTTAGCATTTTTAGTTCAAAAGCTCCGATTTTCTTCTTCAGTGACTGAGTAAGAGTCGATGACCCACAACCACAAGTGGCCACGGGAAAGTTGCGTGATCTCAAATGTTTAGTTTACTTCGCTTGCAGGTGTTGTCCCATAAGTTTCATAGGTTTACGTTTTTTGAGCCATCTGGGGTCTGCAGGCTACCGTTTGAAGAACTATGCTTTATACCACATAAAATATTGCGTGGTGTAATCGTTACCTTCTAACGCTAACACATGAGTTTTAAGTACTACGATGCTAGCTGCGCACGCGAACTCTCAACAGCAAGGCGAAGAGAAGGAAAATATTGCGTTATATAATCGTTACCTTCTAACGCTCACACATGTGAACTGATCACACCTCACTACTGATGCTGTGTCCAGCTATGACCGTCTCCAGACTTGAGACATGGTCTAGCATACATTTAACATTGAAAGCAGAGATAAACCTCGTAAACTGTCTCGACAAAACCTCAAACAGCCAACACATGGTGGACTTATTTGCAATGCCATATAAAAGACTCAGTTAACGTTTAAAAACTAACTTAACTAGTTTCGTGACAACAAGCGTTGACTTCAAGATCAAAAACAGAAGAGTGGATAGGCAAGCAGCAGCACTTAAAATGAAGACTGCTGTACTCTAATGGTTGTTGGTGTGGTGGGAGTAAACATATCAAGATAATTATAAAAATAAAAGATAAAAATAAAACCAACACAAAGTGGATGCGTACACTAAAACAAAACACAGGCTACTCCAACGGTTAAAAATAAAACAAAAGCTAACATAAAGTGGATGTGCGCGCAACAATACCCTTACAGGCTAGTCTGGTGGATATGTGTAAGTTGAAAAAATGGAAAGATACAATATGAGTTAAAGATTCTAAAAATGAGTTAATTATATATACATTTTTGTTTAAACGGAAAAAAATAAAAATATAAATAATATCACAAGTCAGTGAGTGCAGCAGTACCCAGACACAGACTGCCGTAGTGATTGTCAGGCCAGGTGGAGTGGTAGCCCTCCAGACAGTCGCAGTGGTACCAGCCGGGCATGTTGATGCAGACGGAGTGGCCATGACACTTGGAGATCCCCAGGGCACACTCATCGATGT